GCATCGTTTTATTTCTTGACTGCTGCTTCCATGGGTGTTGATTGTGGATCCAAGTAAAATGAAATCCTTGACAACTTCAGTCTTTTCTCCATTTATCATAATGTTGCTTACTGGTTTAGTTGTGAGGATTTTTGTTTTCTTTATGTTGAGGTGTAATCATACTGAAGGCTATAGTCTTTGACCTTCATCAGTAAGTGCTTCAAGACCTCTTTGCTTTCAGCAAGCAAGGTTGTGTCATCTGCATATCGCAGGTTGTTAATGAGTCTTCCTTCAGTCTTGATGCCACCTTCTTCATATAGTCCAGCTTCTCAAATTATTTGCTCAGGATACAGATTTAGTAAGTATGGTAAAAGGATACAACCCCAATGCACACCTTTACTGATTTTAAAACATGCAGTAGCCCCTTGTCGTAGTCAAATGACTGCCTCTTGATTTGTGTACAGGTTTCTTCTGAGCAAATTAAGTGTTCTGGAATTCCCATTCGCAGTGTTATGCATAACTTGTCATGATCCACATAGTCGAATGCCTTTGCATAGTCAATAAAACACAGGTAAACATCTTTCTGGTATTCTCTACTTTCAGCCAAGATTCATCTGACGTCAGCAGTGCTGTCCCTCATTCCATGTCCTTTTCTGAATCTGGCTTGAATTTCTGGCAGTTCCCTGTTGATGTACTGCTATAACCGTTTTTAAATGATCTTTAGCAAAATTTTACTTGCATGTGATATTGGTGATATCGTTTGACAATTTCCACCTTCTGTTGGATCACCACTCTTTGGAATGAGCACAAATATAGATCTCTTCCGTAAGATCCATAAAAATTACAGCCTAGGAAACCCTATGGGACAGTTCTACTCTGTCACATGGGGTTGCTGTGAGTTGGAATCGACTTGCTGGCACCTAACAACAATATTTTGGGAAACATTCCTTGTCACTGATCTTTCCATATGCAAGCCTTTGAGTTCCCAAGGATGTCCTTTGGTAGCAGCTGACTTATCTGATAACATAACTTGATCTTAAATTACTTGATTTTTCATCTGAGGATACTTTTATTATAAAAATTGCACTTGAAAAAATATGTTTATTTAATGAAATTGACATTAAATAAACATGTTATACAGTTTTTCTGTTTAAAACTGTGGATTAATTTGATTATGCCAAAGTAGTTTTAGTCAAGAACTCTCAAGCATTTTTGCTGAATGCACCGAAAGATCTTTGTCAACTCTTTAAAGTTCTTTTGCAGAAACTACAACTGTATCAGATACAGCATTTATAAGCAAAAACATTTTGTAAGCAAAAACATTCTTCTTTAACAATGAAGAAAAACTCCCATCATCCATCTAACCATGTACTCATAGTAGTAAACTTTATCTTTAAAACAGGGAGGCTTCGTATTGTAGTTGCTTTTGGTTTTCTTATTACTGTGGGTTTTGCTTTGTTTTTTAGAAGTTAAAGGGAGTGTGATTTCTCTGAGACATCAGTAAGTTGCAGCGAGTAGATCAATGTTCAGCAATCATGTCTTTTAAGGCCCTTTCTAACCCTGATATTTTATGAGTCTGTATTTACCTTGGGCCCTGCTTTTTTCCCTCAGTGACAGGAGAGTGGAGATCACGTTGGGGTGAGCTGGGAAGTGAGATTGGGCTGGAGTTTAGGAGATGATGGACATTGAGAATCATAGAGCATGTTATGGTTGACTCTAAGAGATGCAATTACTGTTGCCTCCTTCTTCTTTATAGTGTTACAGTCTTGTTTGTGTGTGTTTGTGTTTTAATGCTTATACATGTTCTTAATTGTAATTATTTTTATAATTAGGGAAAAAAGAAAGAAACATAGAAGCCATAGATTAAAGCAATTTTTAGAAGTCACTTTTTCAAGTACCTTCCTGCAAGCTGACAACCCCTAAATTCTTTGAGATGGGTCAGTATTCAAGTGATCAAAAAGATGATTAAGAAAAGGATTTTTAAAAGAACTTTGGGGGAGAGAGGATATTTTTCATGGAGTTAGAACATAAGGCTAATGTTTATTGGCTCATAAAAAGTAGTTAACAAAAAAATGAGATTTTATTTAGTGGTTAGATGGAATTTTAGCTAGATATTTTATATCCCTTGGAGCTGGGACAGTCTTATTCATCTTTGTATCCCCAGTCCCAAATGCACCACTTAACCCATACTAGGTGCTCAAAAAATTGTTTTCTGAACTGAACCCAGTACCCATTCTTGAGGGAAGAATGAAAACAAGATGATCCTGGATAAAAAGGGTGAGTTTTTGATGTTCTCTTTTAGTTACTCTCCAAAATGTTCCCTTTCAGAAAATGTGAAAATGTTTTTATGCACAGTGTATTGGAACCACAAGCACTGACTTTGTACTTCAAAGTTGGAAGAAATGAGATTGATGTCCCTGTCCCACACAGTTGTAAAATGCCAAAAACAAGTAGAGCAGAAAGGAATTAAAGCCCAGTACTCAGAAAAGCCAAGTAAAAGCTTCAGATCAAGGGTGGCTATAATTGAAAAAGGCCAAATAAGTATTCAAAACCACCCCTCCTGGGACTATTACGATTTCTGAGTTTCAAATTGGCATTTTATGTTTGACAAGGTGACATTGTATAAGAAATGTATTGCAAAACACTGCTATACAATAGGAAAATGATTGAATGTAAATATTTCAAGATGTAGACCACTGTTCAAATGTTATCATAAATCTTTGCCTTTGTTTTAGGGGATAACTTTTCCTGCATGTATGAGCTGACTTGATAGAGCTGGCTCTTGAAAGGGAAATCATCAGCAAGTTTTTCTGCTTCTGCCACCACAGATCTGATTTCACATAAAAGTATCCTGTTAGATTTTTGCCATTGTTATCATATGCTTATTATTACATAAGGGAGGAAATCCTTTTTTGAAGATATTTCATCTGGCATTCCTTTTGCTCTGTTCACTAAAATGGTCTGAATGTTTTGTTTTCTGTGTGAAATTAGAATGGGCTGGGACAGTTTGTGCTCTTAAACTTTGAAAAGCAAAGAAAAAAGCTTGAGCTAAAAGATTAAGTATTCTTCCATTTTTCACAGGTTTGGAAGGTTTACAGTTGCTGCTCTTCAGTCCAAAGTAGAACAATATGAACGTGAAACCAGTCGCCTCAAGAAAGCCCTGGAACGAAGTGATAAATATATAGAGGAACTAGAATCTCAAGTTGCACAGCTGAAAAATTCAAGTGATGAGAAGGAAGCCGTGAATTCCATTTGCCAGAGAGTACTTTGTACAGATGGCAAGGGGAACAAAGGCAGCGAGGAGGATATGGCATCAAAGAGCCAAGGTGATGGTGCCAGAAAGCAGCCTGGCTCATCCACCTCAGGTTCTTCTCACCTGGCAAAGCCTTCCAGCAGCAGACTCTCTGATACCAGTTCTGCCAGGCAGGAAAGTACCAGCAAAACAGAACCAAACTGTTCTAACAAAGACCTTTATCAAAAACAGATGGAAATAGTGTTAGATGTGACAGATACAAGTATGGATACTTATTTGGAAAGTGAGTGGGGTAATAAAACAAGTGAATGCGTACCCTACAAAGATGAAGACCTTTATGATCTTCCAGCTCCTTGTACTCCTCTGTCCCTTAGTTGCCTTCAGCTCAGTACTCCAGAAAATAGAGAGAGCTCTGTGGTCAAAGCAGGGGGTTCCAAAAAGCACTCAAACCATCTCAGAAAATTGGTGTTTGATGAGTTTTGTGATTCTCCCAATGTTTGTAATAAAGATTCTTCAGAGGATGCTATAAGTCAAAGTGAAAATGAAAAGAAATCAGACTGTTTTGTTTCCCCAAAGACAGGGTTTTGGGATTGTTGCTCCACAAGCTATGCCCAAAGCTTGGGTTTTGAAAGCTCAGAGGAGAACACCATAGCAAATTCTGTTGGGGAAATATCGTCAAAGTCGAGTGAGAGATCAAGCTTATGTTTATCCAAGAGGCTGAGTTCTATTCGTTCTTTTGAAATGAATCGGACAAGAACATCCAGTGAGGCATCAATGGACGCAGCTTACCTTGACAAAATCTCTGAGTTGGATTCAATGATGTCAGAGTCGGACAACAGCAAGAGCCCCTGTAACAATGGTTTTAAGTCTGTGGATTTGGATGGGTTATCAAAGTCATCTCAAAGCACTGAATTTCTTGATGAACCAGATAAGTTGGAAGAAAGAACTAAACCAAACCTTTCCAAAGGTTCTCTAACTACCGATCAGTTAGAAAATGGAAATGAATGGAAATCCACTTCTTTCTTTCTTCTCCCTCCATCTGACCAAGAAATGAATGAAGATTTTTCACTCCATCCCAGTTCCAATCCAGGAACTAATGAAATCAAACCCCCAAGCTGTTTGTTTCAGACAGAATTTTCCCAGGGTGTTTTGTTAAGCAGTTCACGCCGGCTATTTGAAGATCAAAGATTTGGGTCATCTTTGTTTAAGATGTCCTCAGAGATGCATGGTCTTCATAACCACCTTCAGTCTCCTTGGTCTACTTCCTTTGTGCCTGAAAAGAGGAATAAAAATGTGAATCATTCAACGAAAAGAAAAATCCAGAGCAGCCTTTCTAATGCCAGCCCCTCAAAAGCAACTAAAAGTTGACTCATTAGAAAGGTGTCATTTGTGTTTTTGTCCTGAGAGGAATATGAAAGTTTTTAAAGTTATTTTTCTTTTTTTCATCGGAAAAGTTCTGTACAATTTTAAATTGATAATCTTTGGTCAAGTTTCAAGTCAGAATGGTGGATTAACCTGTACCCGGAATACTGTTGTTCATTTTGAATGGAGTTCAGTCTTTTGATTATGTTTTTGTTGGGAATCTTTTTGATCCTGGAAGGTAGAAAGAGGGTTTTGTTTTGTTTTTAAAGAGTACTATATGTATCTGAGTTAGGGATATTTTATTTTCTTGAACTTTGACTTAACTGTTAGACACAGTGGCCTGCTGATCAGCCTTAGTTGTCTCACTTGGATTTTGTAAATACAACTTTCGGTGCTGTCTGCACACTCACTGCCCATAAAACACTTGAGTTTCCTTGAAGCTTTTCCTAGGGTGGAAGTTATTTTACCTGCCTCTTTTTATTTATGTTTAGTGATGGCCTAACTTTTATGCAAGGCAGTGATGGAGAAATAGCACTCAAACCATAGTTCAGTACTCATTTGTTTTAGATTTTACATATATGTTTGCGTTTGTTAAACATTGTGTTTTGTCCCATATTTGTAAAAAATGTTCTGCTAGTGTGAGAAGACATTTTCTATTTGAAAATAATTCATTTTATGTCGGGTAGGTTCAGTTTGCTTGTCTTTTCATGTGTGTGTAAAATCAGAAATTGAGCTTACTTTGGAAGAGATTATGGCAGCGTTGGGTTTGAAGGAGCCTAAATCAGATAGTTTCATTTTTCTGGATATATAGCTACAGAAACACTCATTGCCAAGTTCTTCATCCACTGACATCCCAGGGGACCCTTTTGGAGGGAAGCTCTTGTTAGCATGTTAGTGTTCTTTATGTCAACTCTATGCACGGTAGCATTCTTGCTTACTCCATTTTCCATACTTAAGAAAGATAAGTTTCAACTAGTTTACATAACATCTTTTATGTAGAACAAATTCTTTTTTCATGAAGAATGTGGGGGGGTGGTGAGGATAGGTAAAAGTAGAGCACAGTTTTTAATTTAGGCTCTGAAAAAGTGTATTACTAATCCAGACATGTTTGGCATACCTGTACAGGCCTTTAAAAATGGGTTTGTATGCTAATGAGTCGTTTAATGTGCACTGAACATTTTACATTAATACTGTAATGTTTTACATTAATACCGCATGCTTTTCCATGTGAAGTGAATAAAAGATGTCATAAGCACTGTAATCCTTGATGTTGTTTTGAATATTGAATTGGCCCATAAAGACCAGGAAAACTTACTGTTTTCAGTTGATCTTAAACAGGGTTTAAGGAGCCCTGGTGGTGCAGTGGTTAAGTGCTCAGCTGCATGAACTGAAAGCTTGGCAGTTCGAACCCACCAGCCACTCCGAGGGAGAAATGTGTGACAGTCTGCTTCTGTAAATATTTACGGCCTTGGATACCCTATGGGGCAGTTCTCTTCTGTCCTACAGGGTCACTGTGAGTTGGAATCAACTCGATGGCAGTGGGTTTGGTCTGGTTATACAGGGGTTGACAAACTCTGCCCTGTGGGCCAAATCTGGCCCACCACCTATTTATGTAGGGCTTGTGAGCTAAAAATGGTTTTTATATTTTTAAATGGTTAAAATCCAAAGAAGAATAATATTTCATGACATACTCAAATTTCAGTGTTTCTAAATAAAGTCTTTGTTTTTATATAATTTTATCTTGTTGTTGTTGAGAATATACACAGCAAAACATACACCAGCAGTTTCTGCATGTACTATTTAGTGACACTGATAACATTCTTTGAGTTGTACAAACATTCTCACCCTCCTTTTCTGAGTTACTCCGCATTAACATATCTAAATAAAGTCTTATTGGAACAAAGCTAACTCATTTGTTTACTCATTATCTATGGCCGCTTTTGCACTAGAACGGCAGAGTTGAATAGCTGCGACAGAGATCAGATGGCCCCACAAAGCCTAAAATATTTACGGTCTGGCCTTTTATAGAAAAATTTGCCAACTCCTGTTATAATAGACTCTGAGAATTCAGTGAAACCAGAGGTAACAAATCACTTTTGTGATTTAGAGAATCATTTCCTCTGCTTTTAGAAGTAGTAAGAGCTAGAAAACATCGATAACATCATTTTTGTGTTTGTGGAATATTTTTTCCAATAATTATTTGTGCATTATTTTATCTTTCTGATACTTTAAAGCTAACGGGTACTTCCAGAGATACTGGCAACTCAAATATCTTTGACGATATGGTTATAAATTAGAAAATTAAATGTAGAAATCAAATTTGTCTGAATAGTCACAGGATAAATTTTGGGTTAAGCCTTGCTCCTAATTCTGTCTATAACTCTTCTTTACCAAGAACGTGTCTGTTTTTGACCCAGATGTGTATTGAAACTGTACCATAGAAATCTGGAATGTGTAACCTGATTTACTAATGCCTAATCTCAGCTGCTCCACCCTCCCCCAAAGAGTACTTCATATTTTAACCTAATCAAACCATGACATTCCTCAAAGAGAGTAATCTGTGCGGGATTTGATTTTAATCATACATTCTCATTTGTAGTCTACCGTAATCTGATAATGTAATGACAAATATGGTGTTTCACATTTTAAAATATACCTATAATGCACACAAACGCTAAATATAACAAAAAAAACTACCTTTCATTGAGAGCAAGTACTTTGCTAATAACCTCTGTCTAATTCAATTCTTTCCAAACCTTGTGACCTAAATTACTGTTATCCCCAATTTACAGATGAGCAAATTGAGGGTTAGTAATTGCACAGCTGGAATGAGGGTAATGTCTTGGAGCTGGGTCTTTGACTCCAGAGCTTATGTTCTTCCTCTCTCATGCATGGGATCCACATTTATGTACCAATGGATGAATGGGTTTTAAATCTCCCAACGATTTTTTTTAAGTAGTATTTTGGAAGTATTAACATGTTTCTTTTCAAATAGCGTTTAACGCCTGCCTGTGTTCCCATGCCTGTGTCTAACTTTACTAGTAAGTAGAAGCTCAATGATGGGAGTTGTGTGTATACACTTCATAAAGATTCACATTAACTCTGACATTTAGATAAATTTAACCCTCTATTGGTTAATTTCACCAAAGCTACGTTAAAAAAAGATGTACTGGGAATAAAGGAAGCAGACACTTATCAGGTCATGCCTTTATAAAAACACCTATAGACTGCTCATCTTTCTCAAATGCTATGGCTATAGAAATGTGACGGTGGGCCAATTGTGTGTGTGTTTTAAGCATTGTGTTTTTGGTGAAAGTTCACATAGGAAATTAGGTTCTCATTTAACAATTTGTGTACATAATGTTTAGTGACATTGGTTACATTCTTCACAATATATCAGCATTCTCGTTATTTCCATTTTGGTTCTGTTTCTGGTAATCTGGTTTCCCTGTCCCCCTTGCCTTCTCATCTTTGGTCTAGGGTAAATGTTTATCATTTGGTTTCATCTAGATGAATATTTGGAGGAGCACAGTACTCATGGTTGATATTTGTTTTATGGGCCAATCTGTCATTTGGCTGAAAGGTGACCTCAGAGTGGTTTGAGTTTCAAGTTTTAAGAGTATCTTAGGGCGATAGTCTCGAGGATTCATCTAGTTGCTAGTGGTCCAGTAAGTCTAGCCTTTTTTTAAAGAGTTTTTAGTTTTATTCTACATTTTTCTCTCATTCTATCCGGGGCCATCTCTTGAATCTCTGGATTGAACGGTCAATAGCAGTAGCTGGGCACCATCTGGTTCTGGTCTCAAGGTAGGTGGTGTCATTGCGTAGATTATTGGTTCTGTAGACTGGTTTCTTCTTTGAGTCTTTGGTTTTCCTTCTTTCTCTTTAGCTCTGGGTGAGTAGAGACCAGTAGTTGTATCTTAAAAGCTGGCAAGCTTTTAAGACCCCAGACGCTATTCACCAGACTAGGATGTAGAACATTGTCTTTACGGACTGTATTATACCAGTTGACTGAGTTGCCCCCACGAGACTATGGTCCTAAACTCTCAAACCCAGTAGACCAATTCCGTGAAGTGTTTGGTTGTATCTAGGAAGTATCCATAGCTGTGCTCCCTATGTGCTTTATTTTACTCATGAAAATACATGCAGCACACATAAACATGTATATACATATGCCTACAGTTATCCATATAGGCCTTCCTGTACATATTTATGCATACTTATGTGTCTTTATAGAGCCCTGGTGGTGCAGTGGTTAAGAGCTACAGCTGCCAGCCAAAAGGTCAGCAGTTAGAATCCATGAGCTGCGCCTTGGAAACCCTGTGGGGCAGTTCTACTCTGCCCTATAGGATCACTCTGAGTCGAAACTGACTCGACGGCACCTAACAACAACAACATAAGTCTATGTAACGAAACACATATTTTTAGTTATTTCTGTTGTTGCAAAATTGTATATCCCCCAATGAATTTTTTTTTACAAATATCCAGATAAATTGTTCATTGACATTAGTTACATTTATCACAATTTGTCAGCATTGTCTTTAATTGTGTCTATACCTTTCTATTTGTGCTCACTCATCTTTACTATGATTGTACTGTGCTCACTGCTTTCACACTCAGAGCCACAGTTCCCATCACCAAAAATAACAAGTCTGTAAATTCTAATGCATACTTACCCCTCCCTCTTCCCTGGTAACCACCAATGAACATTGGTCTCTCTATATTTATCTGTTCTTCTTATAAAAAGGGATCATACAATATTTGTCCTTATATGCCTATTTCACTTAGCATTATGCACTCCAGGTCCATCCATGTTATGTTTCCGGACTCGTCATTGTTCTTTATGGTTGCATAGTATTCCATTATGTGTGTATACCACAATTTGCTTATCCTTTGGTCTGTTGATGGGCACTTCCATCGTTTCCATTGTGAATAAAGCTGCAGTGAACATACTAAGTGCATGTATCTGGTCATGTCAGTAGTTTTAGGTCTTTAGGGTATATTCTTAGAAGTGGGATTGCTGGATTGGAAGGTAGCTCCATTTCTAGTTTTTTGAGGAAGTGCCAAACCATTTTCTATAGTGGTTGGGCCATTTTATAGTCCCACCAGCAATGAATAAGAGTTCCAGTCTCCCCACATCTTCGCCAGTATTTATTGTTTTTTTTTTTTTTTTAAATCAGTGCCATTTTAGTAGGAGTGAGATGATATCTCATTGTAGCTTTGATTTATTTGCATCTCTCTAATGGCTAATGATTGGGAGCATCTTTTCATGTGTTTGTTGGCTACTTGAATGTCTTCTTTGGTGGAAGTTCTGTTCATATCCTTCGCCCACTTTCTAACTGACTTTTTGTTTTTGAGTTGTCGAGGTTTTCTATAAATTTTGGAGATTAGACCCTTATCTGATAGTCTTTTCCAAAGATTTTTTCCCCCAGTCTGTAAGTTCTCTTTTTACTCTTTTGATAAGGTCTTTTGATGAGCAGAAGTTTATAATTTTTATGAGATCCCATGTATCTATCTTGTCTTCTATTTGTGCATTTGTTGTGATGCTTATTATCCTATTTTTGCAGAAGATTTACATCCCATAGTTTTCCCCCAGGTATTTTATGGTTTTAGGTTTGACAGTTAGGTCTTTGATCCATTTTGAGTTAGTTTTTGTGTTTGGTGTGAGATATGGGTCCTTTCAATTTTCTGAAGGTAGATATCCAGTTTTGCAATATGCTAGATTTTTTGTTATGGTCTTTAGTGTTCATTTTTATGATCCAAATCCAAAATGACATCCCATCCAAAAATGACAAGTCTTTTTCCTGTTTTAATAAATCAGCTGAGACTAAAGCTGAAAACAGTATATCAAGATTTACAACCCCTTGATCTCAAATCTGGAAACCCTGGTGGCGTAGTGGTTAAGAGCTAGGCTGCTAACCAAAAGATCTGAAGTTCCAATCCACCAGGTGCACCTTGGAAACCCTGTGGTGCAGTTCTACTCTGTTCTTTAGGGTTGCTATGAGTCGGAATCGACTCAGCTGCAATGGGTTTGGTTTTTTGGGTTTTAATCTCAAATCTGCTTTGTTTTCCTGTCATCTTTGGTGCCTCCGTTGGTTTGAAACAACTGTAGGTGCCACTGAGCAAGGAAAGGAACTTTAGTCTTGGACCATAAGATGTTTCAGGAGCTGTTGCTGTTTTCTGTGTACTTGAGTGGTTTTCAGTTATTCAGAGTACAATACATACACTAGATTATTTTTCTCAACTTTTGTACCTGTGGACCATACTTGCAGAGAGCATCAAACTGAGAGTAACAGTTTAGCTTTACGGAATGTGGCCTATTAGATTAGAAGGGTTTCCCAAA